TCCTTGAGGCGAGGGTGGAGATGTGTGAAACACACCTATCAACAGTATCACACCTTAAGTGTGTTTCCAAGCTTCAGTCCGCTTCAACATAGCAACGTCGTGGAGCATTAAATCAAGACAGTGGATTGTCTCATCAGGTGCATCTTTTTCGGTATTTATGCTTTTCTAAATTATTGACGCTGATTTTAAAGTTGTTTTCAGGAGTATTTGTTGTTAAGGAACTTGGATTTTCTTTCACATACATTTTTAACGAAGATCAGAACCTAACTGCATGTTATTACTTACTTATGAAGTAAGAAATGGTTTGTGCTTGTGCTCTACGGGTTGGGACTGTATATATACAGTGGGGCAAAAAAGTATTTAGTCAGCCACCAATTGTGCAAGTTCTCCCACTTAAAAAGATGAGAGAGGCCTGTAATGTTCATCCTAGGTATACCTCAACTATGAGAGACAGAATGAGAAAAATAAATCCAGAAAATCACTGTCTGATTTTTAAAGAATTTATTTATGGGGTTGAGATCTGGAGACTGGCTAGGCCACTCCAGGACCTTGAAATGCTTCTTACGAAGCCACTCCTTTGTTGCCCGGGCGGTGTGTTTGGGATCATTGTCATGCTGAAAGACCCAGCCACGTTTCATCTTCAATGCCCTTGCTGACGGAAGGAGGTTGTCACTCAAAATCTCACGATACATGGCCCCATTCATTCTTTCCTTTACACGGATCAGTCGTCCTGGTCCCTTTGCAGAAAAACAGCCCCAAAGCATGATGTTTCCACCCCCATGTTTCACAGTAGGTAAAGTGTTCTTTGGATGCAACTCAGCATTCTTTCTCCTCCAAACACGTCTAGTTGAGTTTTTACCAAAAAGTTATATTTTGGTTTCATCTGACCATATGACATTCTCCCAATCCTCTTCTGGATCATCCAGATGCTCTCTAGCAAACTTCAGACGGGCCTGGACATGTACTGGCTTAAACAGGGGGACACGTCTGTCACTGCAGGATTTGAGTCCCTGGCGGCGTAGTGTGTTACTGATGGTAGCCTTTGTTACTTTGGTCCCAGCTCTCTGCAGGTCATTGACTAGGTCCCCCCGTGTGGTTCTGGGATTTTTGCTCACCGTTCTTGTGATCATTTTGACCCCACGGGGTGAGATCTTGCGTGGAGCCCCAGATCGAGGGAGATTATCAGTGGTCTTGTATGTCTTCCATTTTCTAATAATTGCTCCCACAGTTGATTTCTTCGCACCAAGCTGCTTACCTATTGCAGATTCAGTCTTCCCAGCCTGGTGCAGGTCTACAATTTTGTTTCTGGTGTCCTTTGACAGCTCTTTGGTCTTGGCCATAGTGGAGTTTGGAGTGTGACTGTTTGAGGTTGTGGACAGGTGTCTTTTATACTGATAACGAGTTCAAACAAGTGCCATTAATACAGTTAACAAGTGGAGGACAGAGGAGGCTCTTAAAGAAGAAGTTACAGGTCTGTGAGAGCCAGAAATCTTGTTTGTTTGTAGGTGACCAAATACTTATTTTACCGAGGAATTTACCAATTCATTCATTAAAAGTCCTACAATGTGATTTCCTGGATTCTTTCCCCCCATTCTGTCTCTCATAGTTGAAGTGTACCTAGGATGAAAATTACAGGCCTCATCTTTTTAAGTGGGAGAAACTTGCACAATTGGTGGCTGACTGAATACTTTTTTGCCCCACTGTACTGACGACATTATTTTCATTGTGTTACTCAATTCCAACTTGATTTAAGGGGTTAATGTCAGTTTAAGTATATTATATCACTGATTCATGACATAAACGTGACATGACAGGACTATAAATACAGGAGAAGGATTGATGAGTAATTCTTCCTGAATACCACCAGTGACGTTTAGCTGTGGATTTGATACCACATGGCATCCCTGTCCTGTTCTGTCTGGCTGATGGCTGTAACCTGAGAGCGAAGCTTTTGTGCAACACTCTCGCTCTCCCACATGCAAATCAGCTTATGGAGGAAGCAAATGTTGGATAACGGTGGAGTGCTGATAGATTTAATCTCTACCCTGCCTCCCTGGATTCAGCTGCCTTTGCATTGGCCCAGTGTCCTTGTAAGGAAAGTAACCTTCACAGCCTGACCATGTCCTTTAAAAATCATCTCTGCATAGGTCAGCGTTTCACATGTGGGGCGCAGCGATGTGATGGGTGGGTTGCGAATGGACGCAATAAACGGGAGATTCTTTTTTATTTTTTATTTTTTTAAATACATTTTTTGGACCTCAGACCGGAATCGAACCTGGGTCCTCGCGGGCGGTAGTGGACTGTTACAACCGGAGACTCGCAACGGCAGTGGACTTTCACAGCGCTACCGGCGCAGCGGCGCAGTAAAAGTCCACGGCCCACCTATGCAAGAGCCAGCGGCCCACCTATGCAAGAGCCAGCGGCCCACCGGGAAAAGTCCCGAATCTCCCGATGGCCAATCCGAGCCTGCTCACACACACACAACTGAAACCAAAATCATTTACAGACATATGTAAAAAGCTTTCATACACACATGTGAAATGCTCTCACACACACACACACACACACACACACACACATACACACACACACACAATAGCGTTGCAGTCGGGAAGAAAAGCAATGTGGAGCGGCACCTCACCACTTCATAAGGAGTTTAACCGTGACACTTTTCGAAATCCCGTTTGTGTCCTCCCACTTTACAAATAGCCTGTTTATTATTATTTTTTAACGCAAGCCGTCATCACCACGGAGGAGCACACAGCCTCTGTGAGCGAGCGAGACACGGAGAGAGAGCTAGAGAGAGCACACCTTTATCTATTTAATATAGCCTAGTTGTACAAAATAAAATAACAAATCATTCCAATGTGTACTGTAGGACAGTAAAAAAAAAAAACGGTTTAAAAGGGGAGTGATTAGTAAAATATGCATAAATAAAAAGAAAGAATGCTAACTAGATAACATAAGATCAGAATAAACAAGTTTAAATGATTTGTTATTGGTTGAGATCATATTCTAAAGATGTTTGGATTATTGAAAAGTATACACCTCCCTTTCATCTGAGTGTTGAGAGCTGTATCCATACATCCATTTTGTGCTCAAAGTGCACCAGATTGATGCAAAAAAAATCTTCCCGGGGGTGCATGCTCCCGGACCCCCCTAGTAGCTCACGACTTGTTTTATTTTTTGAAAGTAGCTCTCATCCTAAAAAGGGTTGGAGACCCCTGTTATAGAACAATATACATTTGACAATTTTAAGCTTGGCCTACCATTTTATTGGAGCGAAGAGGAACAGGTGGGGCTTGAAAAGGCCCACCTGTTCAAATGACAGAAAACGTTTGAGAACCACTGGCATAGGTCAATAATGGTTTGCATACTGTGTGCTGTCTTGGAAGTTAAACGTTGTGTGGGTCACATGCAGATTGGGACAGGAACATAATAACCCCCTCACGTTCTCAGATGAGACATTGTTGCCTTCTCTGCTGTCAGAACCTTTCTGTCTGCTGCACCCACACATGCCTTTACGCCCTCCTCTGTTTGAATCTTGACCATTCATGTCACACCTTATGTGACATGTGACATGCAACAGAGAAGCTTGCTTACGACCGACCCAAAATGTAGTTTCAACCCAGTTTCTTTCCTGTTAAACCAGATCATTGATTTTTTTGTTGTCTGTGCCAATTTGTAGAAACTATGTTGAGATATTCCCCAGAGGATGAATCCTACAGACTTTAATGATCCCCTTAAATTCCTTTTATTAAAGTATTTAACAAATATTGGAGGGGTATTTGTGAAATTCATTCATAAGATAAACTAACCTTTTGGTGATAACCTTTTATGCCGTGCCATCATCAGATCAATGATTTATTGCGTCCAATACTTGTTTTTTTGACCAAATACATAAGTTAAACTAATGTTATTCCCTTAAGCCTTACAGTAGCTATCGTTTGTGTTTAGAAAAGCAAATATTAGCATACTAAATATTATAGCTGCTTAACACTAGCATGTTTTCAATGTCACTTTGAGCATGTTAGCATGCTGAAGTTAGCATTTAGCTCAAAGTACTGCTAGGCTAGAGTACATCCTCACAAAGCTGCTAGCATGACTCCTTGTTGGTGTAGCATTAAGTAGGATAGCTGGATTAAAAAAAGTCATAATTTGTGTGCAGTGCGTTTTATCAGATTGTTCTGACATAACATGGGCTGCCCTTTTGTGATGTAAGAGGAGAGATGTTAACGTGCCCAAGTCCAAAATGAGGACCGGTTTAAACCTGGCCTCGCAGGGCTGTGTGTGGGCGGTGTTGCTAGACAATGAGAGGATACAATCGAGTGAATAAAGATGTTAAGAAAGACATGGTGTGAATGGCAAACTGCCATTCACACCATGTCTTTCTTAACATCTTTATTCACTCGGCATGTTCACACATATGCCCTCCAGTGAGCGTGCATCCTGCTCTCATTGTAAACACTCGCTGGCCTACATACTGTAAATTCTGCATCACGTCTCTGCACACTCAGCAAAGTGGAAAGATATGTCTGGTACGGTCACTCTCATGCTACAATATATTTTAGGTAATATTCTGACTTGATAAAAACAGTTTTTTACCTTCAAAGTCAAACCTGTATTTACTTCTACAGTTTGATTCCTTTTAATATATTTTGCTTCAGTAAGTCGACCTGTGTTAGTCAATCATTCCCAAATGATCATATGATTATGGATGTTATATAATGGCAGAGCTTTACAGAGGGCTCCAGATGTATTGCTGATACATATCTGCAATCCACTAGGTGGCATACAAGGGTAACTTAAGCTATAAAGCAGTGTCAGTTGAAAAGTGACTTTATTTTGACTTAGTTTATGATTCTAAAGTAGCATCATGGTGAAAAACTCCTCTGCCATGTTGCATTATACAGATTATCACATTTCACTTTTCCATCTATTACTCAAAATTCTTAAAAAAAATATTATGTTGACATCCTCTCTGTCTCTGTCTATCCCAGGGTGAAGTATTCAACCTCGAGTCAGAGGACGAGCGAGGTTTGATCATCGCTGAAGACAGCAACGACATTTACATCCTCTCCGGGGACCAGCACCCTGACCATCTGAGCCCCCCCTCCTCGCTGCTCTGCACCGGAGAGATCAGCAGCGGGCAGAGCTTGTGGCAGACGGAAAGCTTACCCGCATCTCTGGCCGGCCACGAGTCCTGGGCACAGGTCAGCGCCATGGACCCCGAAGACGTGAAGAGCCTGGACAGCAACGAGGGCGCGGCGGCTCTGGCCGAGGAGCGCAGCGAGAACAACTCGTCGAACTCGGACATTGTCCACGTGGAGCGCGAAGACGCCGAGCTGCTGGAGGACGTGGCAGCGATAGACGAGAGCATGATGAGCATCCTGGGCACGGAGAGCGACATGGCCGAGCTCCGGGAGGAGTTCAGGGGCCAGACCCCCCCCGTCACAGAGTTGGCCGACAGTGACTCCACGGCCCCAGCCTCCCTGCTCTCATTAGAGGAGCCGGTTGTCATAGAGACACCTGCAAGCTTGTCCGCAGAGCCTTCCATCATCTCCTTAGAACCTGAGCTTCCTCCCCCCGTCACTGAAGCCCCCCCTCCCTCTGAGCCAGAAGCACCTTCATCTGTTCCTGAGCCAGAACCAGAAGCTGCCCCAGTGCCTGCTGAGGTGGCCCCCCCCATCTCCAGCCAAGGAAACCCCGTTATCAGAAGCAGAGCCGGAGCCTGTCGCAGTGCCTCCCCAGCCAGAGACTGAGGCCCCGCCCGCTGAGCCCCTGGTCCTGGAGCATGCATTGGCCCCTGTAGAAGCCCCGGTGGAGGAAACCCCAGAGCAGCCGGAGCCCGAAGCAGAGCCAGAAGCAGAGCTCTCGCTACTGCTGTACGGAGGCGCTGCGCTGGTGCTCGCTGCTGCCGTGGCCTACAGCTTCATCAGCTACAGGAGGAAGTAGCACATCTCAGGGGAGGAGAATGAAATTACAAGATAAGGAAGAAAAAAAAGTATTGGTACACACATGGTGGGACTCTTCTTGCCAAGTGTGTTGGATGCATTAAATGCGTTTTTTTGAAGGTTTAAGATCTGTGAAAATGACCCCCAGCAACAAAAGAAAACATCTCATCTGCAACCGTACTACTGGGAGTCCTGCTCCACAAACACAGCAGGAGGAACCCATGCACTCCACTGTTCTCCTATTTCTTTTTTCTCTCTTTATTCCTTTTTGGTTAACTTCCAACTGTGTGTTGAAATGCTCCAGCCTTTTAGAGCCACAGATTGGAAAGTTTGTGAACTTTGATCCCTCTTCTGCTAGTTTCTGTTTAGTCTGTGGCTCTTTCTTTGGAACCACTTGAGTCAGTGTACCTACTGAAAATCCACGGACCACGCTTCCTTGATGAAACCACAAACATTTCCTGTTTTTCTGTGGGACTAAAGGTTTTCTGGCTTTCTCCCTTTCTATGCAACAAAACAGCACTTACTAATATCTCCCCCCGTTGTCTGTGATTCTGATTCTTTCTCTCATTCACACAACAAATGCATGACCTATGGAGGAAACCAGTTATTTGATTTTACGTGTCGGTTTCACACACAGAACAGGCGCATTAGGTTACAACTATTGTTCCTCTTTACATTCTGCATAACGTATGTGTATGATTTCACAGCAGGTTTTAATTTCTGTGTATTCAAACATTAAAAAATGTTGCCCTAGAATTGATGAACGTATGGAACTGATACATCCAGCCTGTTCTGCCATCATTGGTATGCACATTTTAATATACTGTGAAGATCCAAAACAAACTTGAAAACAGCAAGTAATCTTAGTTCTTATTGTATTTCTACAGTAAGGGGTCATCTAGTACTTTCTAAAGATACCCCAGTCCTCGTGTGAACTGCACCTCATTCTGTTAGCATTCGCTAAAAAAGAAAATGTCAGCCACTGTAGTACATGGATCCCGTCATCCAATCATTGAAATCGATTTCATGATTGAATTTGCTGAATGGGCTACCACACTTCCTTAGACAAAAAAACACATTTTCTCTGCAGTTTTTTTTACATCTTTACTTTCTCCGAGCCCTTTTAGTCCTCAGTATTCTTTACTATTACTGCTCGTGATGTAACTCTCTTATGCCACAACTTTTATTCACAATTGCCCCTGTTGGGAATGTACCATTCCCACACCCTCCCTGTGTAGAAAATGAGGTATTAAAACAAAAAGGGGGTCCTTCAACAACACTAACCAGCATTGTGGTTTTATATTTACATAAAGAACGCTGTGATAAAGATTTGTTTTGGAAGTCAAATTCAACCTCTTGGGTTACAAGATGTGTTTGCCATATCAACCAGCTAAGGAGAGTTTTTAAACTAAATGTGAACTGTTAGAGGGGAATGTCCCCGGACCCCCCCATAGTCTGTGTAGAGGAAATGAGTTATCTTGCACTTTGAGAACTTGTGTCATTGAGTTGTGCAGTATCACATGATTTTGGGGATATTATGGTAAGTTGTATCACTGAGAGCTTATAAAAGGCTGCAAAAACATGGTGCACAACAGATACCATCTTCTATGAAAGGATGTATCCCTGTAAGTCAGTGGTAACCTTAGTAATACTGATGGCCTCAGACAATGCCTGCTTCAAAGGGAAACTGTTAAAGTGCAGAGCAGGATGGATGTCCAACTCTTTGTACCTTCAGTTTCCTACAATACACGGATATGAAAATAAAACAAAACATTTGAAAACCTATATGTTGTTTGGATTGAATGCTCATCTGTGTAGATTAAACGTTTCCATTGCCATATCAATACATTTATTTATTTGATCATAAAATACAATCTTACAGAATTTTAGATTGAAATTAAACTCATAACGGGAATGTAAACATTTAATGAAATCACACTAAATAATAGCCATACATGTATATGCCAAAAGCAAAATAATCAAATACAACAATGATGTATTTCAAGTATAAAAATAAAGACATGTTGGCAAGCTTAAATTGGAAACAATAAGACTTAAAGCACAAAGTTAAGAAATTAAAGTGTCTTCATTTCCCGTGTTCAAATATGAGCATAAACTCAACAGTTCAGTGTCACTTCCCTTTCCTCTGTACGGTCGACTCAGCACCTTTCAGTCGACTGGTTTCAGGTTCAGCTGTCCTCCGTGTGTCTCAGTCATTTCCTCTGTAGCCCTGGCGGGGTTGAGGAACTGCAGCGGGGTCTGCAGCGGGGTTGAGGAACTGCAGCGCGGTGACGAACACACTTCTCAGCAGCTGAGGGGCCAGCGCACACACCCCCTTCACCAAGGTGAGCGTGAGGGCCAGCATGACTCTCTCCCGTGAGAGATGATGCAGACCCACGCTCTGCATCACACTCTGCACCTCCCGGCTCAGGTGCCCCGTCCACTGCTGGGAAACAGGAACAATAGGATCGACACCGTTAGGTCATTTAACGAGCAACAACAAACAGACTTCGATGCACCTTATTATTACTAGTGTGTTTATATCTCTATTTAATCTTTTGAGGTTTTTTATTTTGCACGTGGCAAACATCTTGATGTAAACAGCAAAATGGTGTTCAATCAATTTAAGCAGAAATCAATACACACTTGTTTTATTTTGCAGCGTTAGTTAAAGGTACGTTTGAGAAACCGGCTCGAGATACACTTTTTGTTATATTCCATGGAATGCTCTTAACATCCCGATAGCAATGAATATCTTAAGTGCTTTGACACAAAATCCATAAAAAAAGTCATCTCTGGAAGCCGTGGCGCTGTAAAAAGCACGACCAATCATCTGAGCCGGCCCGGCTAAAATAACTGGATGGCCTACCTGCCTGTCAGCCTTCCATCTGGGCACAAACTTATCTCGCGCCCTCATTGGTCATGTGCGCGTTGGAGGAGGGGCTCTGTAAGGAAGTGGCAGATTTTTTCTGGCTGTGTATTTTCAAATTCTAGCGCACTCGAGCTGGTTTCTCCAAAATGACCTACCCCAACTTTAAACACTTGCTGTAGGTGATTTCACGTCGACATCGATTATTAAATGTATACATTAATTTAGGTTTTTTGGAATGTTGAGCAACTACAAACCATTTGGAATCTGAATAGTGTTATAGCAAAGTACATTTAAAATGTCATTTACAATAAATCTGTTGGTGTATGGTGCATACAGTGTATGTAGAGGAAATACAAATACCTAATTTCACCCAAGGATAAATAGATAAACAGTTCTCTGATGCAGGGAAAGTAGATAGAACAAATATGCTATGCTAGATATGTAGTGAAAATACTACTCGCTTTTTTCCGTAATTGTTTTTGTTGCTAAAATGCATGATCACATATCTTAACCACCTAGTACTAGTATACATTATGCAACTACAAAAAAGATTACATAATAATATAAAATATACAAGTTACATATGTAACAGATCATACAAATAAAACCACCTTACTCCCATTCAAATGTTCCTAGTGTAAACTGGACCGTTTTAAACAACATATAATCATTATCTTACAAGTAAAAAAACACCACATTTTGAGTCAGATTATAAAGGATTATCTTTGACAGACACATCCAGTCCAACATGAACATGTCCTGAGCTCACAGCACTCACTGCAGAGGGGGTGTTGGACATGTTCCTGCTCAGGTTCTGGGTAGCCTGATTCACAACATTTTGTTGAAGCTGGTGGGCGATTTCCCTCAGCTCTCCCGCTATCTGCTGACAATCTGCTGCCTGTGCCCGGCCCACTGCAGGAAAACAAGACGAGATCAACATCAGTACACTTCAGTGACCATGATATGTGTTCCTTCACTTTTGTTGCTAATAATGGCAGTAACTTTGATAAGGTAGGGCAACATCAACATTACATGGGTTAACAATTGTGTTAAAATAAAGTTTCGAGTTCACCTGACACTGTCTTTACAAGGACATGCTTAATAATACTTTAGAATAATATCAGCCTAAAACAAGCCATGGAGATAAACAGCTGATTTCAAAGATGTACAAGTACTAGTATGAGTGACTCCCTATATGAACTTAGTACATGTTAAAAGTAGGGCCGGGACTCGATTAAAAAAAATTAATCTAATTAATTAGAGGCTTTGTAATTAATTAATCGAAATTAATCGCATTTTTAATCGCATATAAATATTTGACCTGAGAACAGTGAGAAGCAATTTTTTTTCACATGGATTTTAGTATACCATTAGGCGCATTCACACCGCAGTACTTTTCCCACAAAGGTTCATGAGAATTTAGTTCATGAGAACTCTTTGAACCTGAGGGAGGATTAGGCAAATGAAGCCGCTGACGTCACTTCTTCTTCTTCTGCTTTGGGTTTACTGGCAGGCCGCAAACCACTTCACGGCGTATACTGCCGCCCAAAGTCCCCGGCCGGAAGTCCCCGGAGTTGGGGAAGGCTTCAGTAGAAGCTGCTGGGACTCCCAGCAGCTTCTACTGAAGCCTTCCGAGTAAATCGCCAGAACGCCGACACCTCCTCATCTCCACCGCTCCCATGTTTTATTTTGTGTTGCCATAAGTTAGTCTCTCTGCGTTTCTGCGCTGGGCTAATGCTAATAATGCTAATGCTAATAATGCTAATGCGAGGATAATAAAATGGCGGCTTCACAAAACTTTTTGGGAGTTTTACGGGGCGTGGTTTGCAATCCGCCCAGCCAATCAGAAATATAGCTCTTTTCTCACAAGAGAGCCGCACGAAAGTCCCTGCTCTCTCGCAGCTCTCTGCTCTCTAGCAGGGACTTTTGTGGGGGTAAAAAGGTTCTCATGAACTAATTTTAGTACCGGCTCTTTTTGGTGTGAACGCGATAAAAGAGGCTAACGTCCACGCTAGCTTCCACGCTAGCTGCTATATGTTTTGCATTGAGGTGATACTTGAGGCTTGATGTGCTGCGGTGATATGCGAATTCCTTTTTGCATAATTTGCACACAACCGTGCTCTTATCGACGCTTCCATCCGTCCGTTTTTTAAAACAACATTTCCCACTGTTGTTCACTGTGGTTTGTTGTTGTCTGAAGTCATGAACGTTAGTTGGTGCTCCAGTATAATCGGTACGCCTGAAACTCATCCAGTGAGAAACGATCCGCGGTGCAAAAATAAGTGCGATTAAAATGCGTTAATTTTTTTAACGCGTTAATTTTTGTGTAATTAATTAATCTTAATTAACGCGTTAAAGTCCCGGCCCTAGTTAAAAGGACTGATGTAGTTACTCACTGGGCCACTGCAGTTCCACTGAAGGCAGAATATCCTGTAGAGCAGCTCTGATGGGCAGGTGTCCGTCAGTTTCAAGGTCTCCATCGTCAATATCTTCTTCACAGGGGAGATTAAAGTTGATGTCCCTGGACAAATTAAACTCCTTGCCGAGGTTGAGAAGCTCCTTACTGAACTCTGGGGTGCTACTGTCCGCTTGAAGGAAGACCCACATGAGCAGGGCAGCGTTTTGCCCACTGTTCAGGTCCCATCGATAACTTCTCTAGATTGTGTTTAATTTAGACAAGCATGATTAGGGTTACATTAGCAATATAAACAGCTATATAATATATCCGTATCAACTACAGAACCAGGGCAAAAAACAACTAAACTAAGCTAAAGTAGCATTTGCAGAACTGTTTCAGGGTTAACCGTCTACAGGTAAGCTAGCAAGATAAGCTAACGCTAACTAAAGTTATCTATGCTACATTAGCTTACTTAAACTTTCGAGCCGGAAAGTTGACTCAAAACAAAAGTAAAACTGGAAATGATTGATAAATAAGTTTCAACAGTATAGATGTTTTCACTCACATTCGTTCCTTGGGCTTTGGACGTCAGTTGTTTTACTTCTTACAAGTAACAGTTTATCGCCTTATGATGCGACTATTGAGAGGGATGTGCAATGCAGCATCAAGCAGCCAGGCAGTGTAGCGCGAGCCGCACAACAACAGATCTGAATCAATCTGAACATGCTGATGGGGGAGAGAGGGAGGGGGCTAACCAATCACACTCCTCCTGATGCCTTCAAGCACAGGCGAAAGCATTTTAGTTCTCACAACTTTGCCATCTGTACAGTCCCAAACAGAATCCCAGCTAAATCAGATAACGTGAACCTTTAAACCGTTTTATCAGCTTAATGTACTTAAGGCATGCAAAGTAAAACAGACAAAATGCCTCCATGTTTGATTTGTTATCCATCCATTTATTGTTATATATATTTCGAAAATGATTTTATACTATTCTTGGAGTAGCATTTTACTTTTGTTGATAATCAAAGTTTTTATACAAAAAATATACTTTTTGTTCTATAATTCTACTTGTTTGCAGTTAGTCAATTATGTAAAATGTTATGAATAGTAGCTAAATGTTAAATTAATGTAGTGGAGAAACGTAAAATATTGACTTTTAGTCATGCAGAAGTATAAAGCAGCAAAAATACTCAAGTACAACTACTTCAAGACTGAACTTAATTACAGCACTTGAGTAAACGTACTTAGTTACTTTCCACCACTGCATTTGCCCCATTGTGTATAAAGCAACATTGTGTTATTTAAAAATCTTCCTCCAATTGCATCTTTATCTTTGAGTATCTAATGACTTAAGTTTTTACTTCATAAAAGAAATTGATGATAGAAAATTATTTGACTGCTATTCATGCCACTTTGGGTTGATGTGACCTGTTGTGAAAAGCCTAAATTATGCATGTGATTAATAAAACATGTATTTATTACATTAATAACCTTTCACGTAGGTCTCAGCCTACATTCCAAGTCTCCCAATCACTGTTTCACATACAGTCATACAGTTGGCTGCAGGTCTAGATAACAAAAGAAAAAGCCACTGGAAATTCCCTGTGTGGCCTTTCCAAATGTACTTGTCTGGGTTACAGAATACACAACTATGAGTTACAAAGCTCAATCCAATAAAAACAAAAAAAGGAAATCCAACTGATAAAAAGATTTAAATGTTTATTTACAGTTCTAAAGAAAGTACATTGCACCAATTAAAATTCAACTGCCAGAAAATCACTTTGTGAAGTGTTTAAGTCAGTCAGACTAGTCCTTTAAAACCAATGATATCCACATGCGAGTTAAAACTGTCCATCCGCTTATTTATATTAGTCTCAATAAAGTCTTTGCCGTTTGGTGAAAGGGTCACCCTGCCTTATCTGAGAGACATGGTTTCCTTTTACAACAGCCTGGTTGCTGAAAGTGACTAATTTCGGACTGGCATGTGGGCCTTCCATTAGATTCAATAACCTGTGCAGCCAAAGCTCATGGATCGTGGCGCCTTCCCGCCAATAAGCCTCTGTGCTCTGGGTAGGGACCCCACCTTTGCAGCAAGTTTCAACCCTGGAAGGAGGTTCTGCTTGGGGGACAATGCAGCCTGACGAGCCTCCTGGAGCTCTCTGAGGAGAAAACAGAAATAAGTGAATGCTTTCAATTGGTATGCAAGAATTATCAAACATTGTGTCAATCTTACCTTTCAAGCATGGCTGTCCTGAACTTTTCTACATTGAGCTCTTGGCGTAGCCGAGCAGCCACCTTTCCCGTCCTCCCCTCCCGCAGGACTGGGTGCTTGCACAGCTCCCTGGCAGATGGCCGCTTTGTCAGGTCTGGATCCAGCAACAACTGACAGAAAAATATATATATATATATAACTGCTGGTGAAAACTCATTTTTATCACTATATAAAAACAGTAACTATTCATGGCATTTATAGTTTTCAAATAAACAAGAACATCAGCTCAGAAATTAAACTACCTGAAGTAGGCCTCTGAAGGGAGCAGATGGCTCCTTTGGCAGTTTCGGGAGCTCTCCGTTTCTAAGGCTGTGCCACTCGGTTCCATTTTGAGGGAGTGGAGGAGCACCGGCTGCCAGCAGAATGGTGAGGCCAAGAGCAAAAATGTCCGCCTTGGGCAGCTGGCTGTAATCCTGATCAGCAGAAAGACATTAACATTAGAAACAATTCCTACACTGAGGTGCAACCAACTGAGAACCTAAGCCAACTTTTCCTTTAACATTGTTACCTCTTGAAGGACCTCACTGGCCAGAAAGCGGCTGTCCCCTTCCTCAACTTGAGGACTGTTGGTTGAGTTCACATGACCCAGATCCCCTGCAGAAACAAGAAGGCTTAACAGTAAAAAAAAAACAAAAAAAAAAACATGACAACAATTAAAAAAAATGTTATCCAACTTTAAATAAAATACCAATTTTGTAGACGACTCCCGCTGAAGCGTTTTGGTAATCTTCCTCCTCACTCTCCCCTTCACCTGATGCACTTGTGCTGGGACGCTGGCAAATGAATATATTACCTTAAAGAGTGGAAACAAGAGACGGCACACTTTTTTGTTAAGACTGTACAGAACAAGAAATGCAGACCTAGAACTACTCAATGAGGCTTACTTGGTTTGATGTCGAGGTGTACGAGGCCTGAGCTGTGGATGTACTTTAACCCCATGGACACTTGTAAGAGCAGATCCTTCAACTCATCCTCTGTAAAAAGCTCACCCTGCTCTTCCTTCAACACAATGGCATCACTGAGACTTCCACCTGCCACAAACACATCAAATCCACACAATTTAATTGAGTCGACTTAAAGATATTTAGAAATGTGTTTGGGTCTTCCTAATTTGGGGTAATGAGAAACTTACCATTGCAGTATTCATTCTGAATAATCATGCAATCCTCTTCTGCCCATGCTGAATAATAGCGAACAACATGTGGGTGGTGCCCAAGAACAGCATGTGCATACACTTCCTTTAAGGCCAACTGCCTGAGAAGACAAAACAAAAACAGTCAGATAAATTGGATCAATGTACGTACAAAATAAAAAGGGGGGACTTATCTGTATCTGGCACATAGCGACATGCTGCGGACTCACTCATTGGTAGAGCCTGCCAGGGGTCGGCGAGAGCGTTTTATGGCGTACAAACAACCATCCAGCCTCTTCACACACTTGTAAACTGCTCCAAACTCGCCCACACCAATGCACTCCAGCTCCAGGAACTCACTCTCATAGCGTGACAGCATAAAGGCTTGGACAGCTCGCCTCTGCCAGATAAACAGACGGAGGGCCTTGTGGTAAAAACCAAATGAAATTTCTAAAGAAAGAACACACGTCACAGAGGGCAGTCCCGAGTTTCATTACAGCGAGGAGAATCAGGTATTTTTTCTTTGATCGGTAACCAAATACGGTAGCACTTCCATCAGAGATGAGGATTCTGACAGGCTTTTCTGTTTGCTGGAGATTCCTTAGAGAAATCACAGAAGTAGCACTGGCAGCATGTCATTTTGGACAAGAAAAAGAAGTGAAGAGGCGGACAAAGATGACAAAGCCTGACGATGAAATCATATCTGAAGCATCTGACAGGGGAGGGTTACATTCACCATAAACGCACTGATGAAAATAGCTGTACCTTAGGTGGGAGGAAGGCTTCATCATCCTCCTCAGATGACGTCAGGCTGTGTTTCATCCTGGAAGATGAAAAAAAGGGCCTTTACATACTCTTTAAAGAAACTGCATTAGTAAGGGATTAACAAGTCAGGCATATGTATGAGATGGAGAATTATATATCCAGAATAATTTATTATCCAGAATATTTTATATTGTTTATATTTGATATACTATTTTTAATTGTTAATTAACTTTTAAGTATTTGTATTTTAATGTCTGAACACAATAATTTCCCAAATTGGGATCAATAAAGTATCCATCTTCTAACTATTTAAATGTCATTCCTGTGAGTTATCTATAGCAAACAATTAAATTCCATTTAAAAATAAGTCTTATTGTGACACCTACACCATAATACAGTCATATTTATTTCCCTGTGATGTTCTCAATTACACATTTCTCCCACATTAAACAAATCCCCCATCTGTGACTAAAATGTTGGGCCAAGCTGGTGTTTACAATTCATAACCTCACAGATCTACAACAAAGCAGTAGATACCTGCGTCCATAATCGTCATCACTTCTACCGCAGTTCCTCCACTGTGGCTCGCTGTTCCTGCGGACTGTGTCGGGGGTGAAAGGATTAACATTGACCAGAAGTGTTTTGATGTGGTTAGCGGCAGTAGCTGAGGCAAAACGCAGGGTCCTAGGAGGGCGACATATCTTAGTACTGGAGCAAGGCTGGGACGACTTAGTTAGTAAGCTCTATAGGGGGGGAAGAGAAAGGCAATTTATTTCACTGTAAAACTGGTTTAAAATTGAGATCACAATCAGTCTGAATTGCTTCCTACTTTGGGTGTGCTGGGAGAGTCACACAGCCTCAGTTTCCTCCAGGAAGCGTAAGGTATGGGGCTAGTACATTGCGAAGGGGAACATATTGTGTTGTTTCTGCTGCGGTGGCGTTGCACCTTGGGCGTCCGGCACGCAGAGCTGGGACTGCCGATCCGGGGGCTGCCGATCTTGGGGCTGCGGATTCTAGGACTTCGAATCCTGGGACTTCGAATCCTGGGACTTAGAATCCTGGGACTTAGAATCCTGGGACTTAGAATCCTGGGACTTAGAATCCTGGGACTTTGGAACCTGAAGGTACAGTCATCGGAACTGTTGTCACTGCTGCTGCCCTCCTCCCCACAGCTAGAGAAGTCCAGGCGATGGCTGAGATCGTCTAAAAACGTCGACATGCTCAGGGCCAGGGAGTTTTGGCAAAGGTTTCCCCTAAAATACCTGAATAGAAAAAAACTTAACGGTCTACTTTTTGTATGCAAATATCAGGCATTTGTATTTGGTTTGTGTGTGCAAAATCTGCTATTAAAAAGGATACATTAAAAGAAAGTAGATCTATATGCTGTGTGATGAGGTAGCAAGCAGTCTTCGTGTTGCTGTCCTTTCTACAATCATGCATTTGCTTGCCATTAGAGAGCAATAATATTTAAAATGGCGGTTAATGCATTAGATTGTAAAGATAAGATGAGATAAGATAAGATGGAGCTTTATTAAAGCCTGCATTTAAGTCTATTAAGGACAAGAGGAAAACATGTGTCTCTAAACCCGTAGGCCTTCATCCAGTATGGTACTACTACTACTATTAACTCCACCACTAAAACATAAATCCCATTATTAAATCATTATATGTCACTTTACTTATTTACTCTTTTCTTCTTGAGGTTCTTCTAACCAAAGATATAGTGCAAACAAAAAGCAGTTTTCCAGACACACTTTGATATTATTTTCCAGGCGCTTCTGACATGTCAACAGGTGCTTCACATATGGTCATAAATGTACTTCAGCATGTGATTTAAGTGATAATGTGTTCATCATTTATACTCACTAAGACGTTGAATTCCCCACCGCCATACCACGCTTGAATTTCGCGCCTTGTATGTAAATTACTTCCTGTTTATGCCTTCGGGTTAACACAGCTACCTCTCTGATTGGCTGAACTGTTCACAAATCGCACACCTGACTTTAACAATGGCTGCTAATTGCGAAATCCACTTTAACAGCCTTACTTTAAAAACGAGCAAAATAAGAATTTTAAAAGGTATATGAATACATATTTAAATGTGTAATTTTATCACAACAACACTAAAATGAACAATTTAAGTAAAACTAGATACAATCTAAATATCGCGAATATTTACGTAATAGTCAAAAGGCACATTTATGCTGTATGTCCATTCGACTGAATATTATTAAGCCTGGGCAGCATAAAATGCCCATAACCAAAATTAGGTCACTGTATGAAATAGTAATAGAGACACGTGGGCGGAAGTCAGCTACGTCATCAAAACAGTGAGACAGGCGGAGGAAAAGAAGCCCGTCAGTGAATGTGACACGCTTACAAATACACAGAAAACAACCCGAGCAGCAGGACATCATGATCCGGCTCCAGCGAAGCGTTTAGTGTGCTCGATTCTACTTGATAGCGGACTGTTGTGTTATTTTTTCTCGCTTTCCGAGGCAGCATTATCATGGTTAAGCAGTCGGACCGAGCCCCGCTACTGGACTGGGAGGAGATCCCACCGCCCGACCCCAACCCCAACCAGGCGGCCCAGCCCGCGCTGCATCCGCCGCTCCGGGAGGAGGAGGGCGCCCCGGCGGAGAAAAGTTCGAAGCCAGCCGGGCGTCGCACACCGTCGGGGACCGCGGCTGGTACTGGGTGGAGCACCAGCACCGTCGACACCACCATCAGCTGCAGCCCGACGAAGAGTGGAACAGCTGTTGTTGTCAGCGGGAACGGAAACTCGGGCCGCCCGCTGACACAGATCTGTGGGCTCGGGTGGCATCGCCCGGAGCCCCTCGGTTCAGATCGAAATCTTCCCTTCCCCGGCCTCTCGGTGAGGGATCAGTGGGAGGAGAAGGACCAGATCGTGTCTGTGTTCGTGGTTACCTTTGATACAAGATCAGGTAAGCAATCATATTGTAACAAGATGTATATTTTCACATTTGTTTACAATTCTCACTTGTGAATGACATAGCTACATTTCCTAAAACGAGTATTGTTATCTTGGAATGTCTGATGTGCTTTAATACTGAGTCATAGGGGTTAAGGGCGTGAAGTGCTATCAGCAGGTAAACTCATATTTTAGATTTCTAGACGCTAAACAATATTAACAACCCACAGTGGTGAAATAACCGTTATTGTTATGGGCCAACCCTTCCAGAATAAATTAATTTCCTGGTCTGGCTTGCCAGATTTAGCAAGCTGACAAACTGTAAAGAGTAGGCCTATGCAAGAGCTGGTATAGAAGGTAAACCATGCAATATAACAAACAAACAAGACCAGGATGTCAGTGGTTCAGCTTCATAGAAGGGGTCATGTATATTATTATTTACAGTAGCTGAGTCAGTGCTTTCCACTGTCCCTGACCTTTTGCTCCTACATGACAAAAATACAGGATTAGGGGAAGTGGCCAGGATGAAAGTGGACAGAATGGGAAGTAACTGTGGTTTATTTTGTGTGTTTGTGAATAAAAGGGAATATGGTGGAGTGGTGCCTGCCTCACGACATCAACCTGGACGGAGTGGAATTCAAGTCCATTGCCAGTGGTTCCCATCGGATCAACAGTGACTTTATGTACGCACTCCCATTCACCCACTCAGCACACCAGTCAGGAAGCATGAAATCAAGAAAAAAGCAACTATTTTCATTATCGATTAATCAGCCGAAAAAAAGAGAACAAGTTAGCCAAAAATGCCCGGAGACAGACATAGGGAAAAGTTGAAAATATCAATATTTCAGTGGCTGAAAACAGCCTTTTCTGCATGTCAACGATTGACAAATTATCAAAACTGTTTGACTGTTTGAATCGATTGCAACCTTAAAATCTAGTAGTTAGAGATACACAAGTCTGATCTATGCAATTGTTTTGTATCTATGATTTGAGAAATCATTAACTCCCATTTTCTGTTTTTCCTTCGGCTAGATATTTCCGTAAGGGCTGTTACTTTGGGTTGGCCTGTTTTGCTAACATGCCTGTGGACAGTGAGCTGGAGCGAGGAGCGAGGATGAAGTCTGTGGGAATTCTGTCTCCCTCCTACACCCTGCTGTACCGCTACATGCACTTCCTGGAGAACCAAGTCAGGTAAGATATGCTTTGTGTTTATGAGTCTTTTTTTTCCTTATTCACTCACCTTCGACCACCCTATTTCTGTTATTATTTTTCTTGTGGTTGTGTAAACAGGTTTCTCCTTATGTTCCTACCTCCTACCCTCTTGGTTAAAATGTTCCCTCATCTATTAAACATTAGCCCAGAGTCCCGGTTACAGCTATCGTCACAGGAGCTCAATTAAATGCAGTTTTAGTCTAAGTCTAAGCGCGGAAGTGGAATAAACCCTGACAGCCACTCTTCTCCTCAGTAACTCTGCCTCGGTCCTCTCACGAAAGCTTATCTCATTATTGACTATGTATAAATATGTGATGCAGCCACAGTTTCACCTTAAGATATACATATGGCTCAGGTTACAACTGAGTGCGAGTGGATCTGAATGATTGGTAATCTAATCTATCTGTGGTTCTTGTGGATTTTTTTAACAGCCACTCAAACGGTGTTATAAATATGTTATGCGTTTATGGTTTTGGTGGCTAAACCAAAATGAAAATGTTTATTTATGTAATATGTGTAGCCTCAAATGATCCCGCTATGCAACTTAAGAACAAGGGATAGTTAACGGACCAAACATAATCTGTTATTTTGCCTATTTTTACTTAGACTTAGACTAAAGAATAGGACTGAACAGTTAGGCAAACATATGACATTGCAGTTATTTTTGACTGATTCCGAAGGTGATTCATGATATTGAAACAGATAATCATTGTTTTCATTTTTACACTATTGAAAAATATATTAAAATGATTGAAAAATTCTACATCTATACAGAGCAAAGATTTATTTGATTATGTAGAAAATAATTCTTAGGCAGGTACATCTTTGCAACACCAATGCTTAATAGTTCTAATATAATGAATATTTGTGTATATATAATCAGCCCACTGTGATTTAGATATTGCACTAGTGTATAATGTAATTTCATTTGCACATGATTAACCTTTTCATCCCTAGTTGTATGACACTATATCAATATATAATTAAAACATATATAAACATAGGCTTCGTAAATGATATTACCTTTGCTCGGATATACTACATTTTTTCGTATTATTATATTAAAGATAATTGCTGTGAGCTTTCATGTATGGTCAAGTAACATTGACACATTATGAATATGTTATTTGTTTAAATACAACTAAGCAATACTTCATCTTCTTAGTGACATAAATCTAAGAAGGGTTGATTGACTCTAACCTGACATTCATTTTCTTTCTCCGTCTTAGACTCCAGCTGAAGAGTCCGGGCCAGTATTCTCCCCTGGAGGCCTTCTACGAGGATAAGAAGGCCGTCCTCCCCCCTGCAGGAAACGGTCTGGTCACCGCCTGCCCCACCTGGAGTGTTACCTCCATCAACCGCTGTATGCACCCAGAAATGAAGGTGTGTTAGCAGTGGAGCACATGAGCTACATACTGTAGGTAATGGCAGATTTAAACAACGGAAAAACCACAACGACATATTTGTCCCTCTGCAGATCACCCACCCTGCCGGCTGTATGTCGCAGTTCATCCAGTTTTTCGGGGAGCAAATCATGGTGCTGTGGAAGTTTGCGTTGCTTAGGAAACGGATCCTCATCTTCTCCCCTCCACCTGTGGGTGTGGTCTGCTACAGAGGTGAGAAGCTTAAAGTTAACACACATGTACTAGAAGCCAGGATGTAATAATCATACTAATGTCGCTTCCTTTTATTTTAAATTTCCATTTTTTTGGAAATGTTTCATTCCCTATGTTCTTGTTCTCCCCTCAGTGTATTGCTGTTGCTGCCTGGCTAATGTCTCTCTTCCTGGAATCGGTGTCTCTGTTCCTGAATTACGGCCTTTCTTCTACATCAACATAGCAGACATCACCACCCTGGAGAAAGAGATGTCATACGTGGCCTGTGAGTAAAGCGCTCACTGTACTGTACAATCTGTAGTCAATGTAAAGGCTTCTTTATAAATGAGTATGTTTTGTTTTTTTCAGGCACCACTGAGAAGATTTTCGAGGACAAGAAGGGGCTGTACGACGTCTACATTGATAACCAGAATGTGAAAACACACAGAAGCCATTTGCAGCCACTGCTCCGAGTAAATGCAGCAGATAAGGAGAAGTACAGGAAACTGAGCGAACAGAGGTAAATTACACTCTGTAGAATACTTGAAATTCAACTATGTTTTACAAGGAAGTACGAGTGCTATTATTGGTTAAAAAAACGTTTTAAATGAGGCAGGGTCTGGATTAATGTTCAACATAATTCATCTGAATTTAGGACAGATTTACAATAAAAGCACTTGGATATTCTATGAGATTAAAGCAATTAATTTAAGTAGAAAACTCACAAAATTACTAGAATAAAACTCCACTATTGTATAAAATGTAAAGTTATACCTTTGCTAGAATAATATATAACACCCTTGCCCGGGCTCTGTCATTTTTTCTTTCCTACAATGGCCCGTAGATTTTCAAATGTGATACTTGCATTTATATTAGACAGCTATAAGAAAAGCCTCAATATGAACCTGGACACTTATTAATACTAGTCAGCGAAAAACACAATTAGATGCCTTAAGATCCTATTTCTTTTACATATTATATATGCTGACCTTTTTTTTCTCCAGGCAAATGTTGCTGTACTCTCAGGAGGTGGATGGTGACTGCACCACAAATGAAGAGGATCTGTTCATTCTGTGAGTCTTTGACAAATGTATTCACAGCTGCTTGTGAGCCTAATCACAGGCTGTACGTTTAATGAGGGGGCTCCCTAATGATGTATTCAACGCAGATTTAAGCGAGCTCTGTGATTGAAACACCTTAGTAAAAAATGTTTGCTGGCATTCAGATAAAAAAATCTAAATGATTTTGGCTTGTGTCAGTAAATGCGGGATAGTTTTTTTATTTTTAAAGCTCTTAAAAAATAATGGAAACTAGCTAGGAAATATATACGTACAATATGAGATCAGTTTATTGGATGCATGTATGAAGGCAAACAGAATATGCTATCTATATTTTCCCTTAATTTCTAGGAATATTATTTGTCTCATACCTATGTACATGGAAATGGAATGTTTTTATGTAATCGAGCTCAATGACATTTTGTATATATAGGCACTATTTAGCTGTACAGATTTTCAAGTCTAAAGTTATGGTCAATTGAATATCTTATAAGAAGGCAGGTAAATGTCCGTAGCCATACCAGCTGTACACAAGCAACAATCTAAGTGTATCTTTGTAAATTAATGATAAAAAGTGAAAAAATTACAGCTTGAAAATCAAGCATTAGGTCTTCTGTAAGTCTACACTTTGATTTAACGCAAAGATAAAATCAATAAACACCTTATTTAGGTTGCAATGTTACTAACTTATCCAAACAGTAACTTTAGGGAGTCCTGTTTAAGAATGGTTTTCTCATTTGAATGTGGCGCTGACGACCATAGCGTGACCCGCTTGTCTTTAATCCACTCCTAGGTTCTTCATGGAGCTGAACAACCGCATCTTCCAGACGCTGTCAGACATAGCGGGGAGCAACGACCCCACCCTGACCGCTGAGCACGTGAGGGCCATGG